GTCCTCAACGCTGAAAAGACTAAACTAATGTTGTTTTCAAATACTAAGAAGGTTTCTCAAACGATCCCCTCAGTGTCCACTTTTGAAGGAAAAGTCATAGAGGTGGTTCACACTTACAAATACCTTGGTATATTGCTTGATGACTCCCTGAATTTCAAGCCCCACATAGACAATCTTGTGAAAAAACTTAAACTCAAATTGGGCTTTTTCTTTCGAAATAAATTTTGTTTTTCTTTTAAAGCAAAAAAGCGGCTTGTCACTGCAACATTTGTATCTATTTTAGACTATGGAGACCTGCTGTACATGAACGCGTCTGCTCAATGTCTACACAAGATTGACACTGTATATCATGCTTCTTTGAGGTTCATTACTAACTGTAGGGCCTTGACCCATCATTGTGAGCTGTATTCTCGAGTGGGATGGCCTTCTTTGTCCTCCAGGAGGCAGAGTCATTGGTATACTTTTATTTATAAAGCCATGCTTGGTCTACTGCCCTCTTACATCTGTAACCTAATCTCACGGAGGAGCGTTGGCTCTTATAGTTTGCGTTCAAATGATCATTTGTTGCTCACTGTTCCATTTGCCCGTTCAGAACTGGGAAAAAGGGCATTTGTTCACTCTGCTCCTTCTACATGGAACACGTTGCAAAAAGACTGGAAAATAACTGGTCTTATTCCATTGAACGAATTTAAGTCCAAAGTGAGAGCACTTGAGTCAACCTCTTGTAAATGTTTTTTATAATGAGTATGTAATGTGTATGTAATTCTTAAACTGTATATTTTGCTGCCTCTTGGCCAGGACTCCCTTGAAAAAGAGGTTTTTAATCTCAATGGGACTTTCCTGGTTAAATAAAGGTTAAATAAAATAAAAAAAAATAGTTTACAGCCATAGTTTACAGTCATAGTTTACAGTCATAGTTTACAGCCATAGTTTACAGTCATAGTTTACAGTCATAGTTTCCAGTCATAGTTTACAGCCATAGTTCACAGTCATAGTTTACAGTCATAGTTCAGTCATAGTTTACAGTCATAGTTTACAGTCATAGTTCAGTCATAGTTTACAGTCATAGTTCAGTCATAGTTTACAGTCATAGTTTACAACCATAGTTCACAGTCATAGTTTAGAGTCATAGTTCAGTCATAGTTTACAGTCATAGTTTACAGTCATAGTTCAGTCATAGTTTACAGTCATAGTTTACATTCATAGTTTACAGTCATAGTTCAGTCATAGTTTACAGTCATAGTTTACAGTCATAGTTTACAGTCATAGTTTACAGCCATAGTTTACAGCCATAGTTTACAGTCATAGTTCAGTCATAGTTCAGTCATAGTTTACAGTCATAGTTTACAGTCATAGTTTACAGTCATAGTTTACAGTCATAGTTTACAGTCATAGTTTATAGTCATAGTTTACAGTCATAGTTTCCAGTCATAGTTTACAGCCATAGTTCACAGTCATAGTTTACAGTCATAGTTCAGTCATAGTTTACAGTCATAGTTTACAGTCATAGTTCAGTCATAGTTTACAGTCATAGTTCAGTCATAGTTTACAGTCATAGTTTACAACCATAGTTCACAGTCATAGTTTAGAGTCATAGTTCAGTCATAGTTTACAGTCATAGTTTACAGTCATAGTTCAGTCATAGTTTACAGTCATAGTTTACATTCATAGTTTACAGTCATAGTTCAGTCATAGTTTACAGTCATAGTTTACAGTCATAGTTTACAGTCATAGTTTACAGCCATAGTTTACAGCCATAGTTTACAGTCATAGTTCAGTCATAGTTCAGTCATAGTTTACAGTCATAGTTTACAGTCATAGTTTACAGTCATAGTTTACAGTCATAGTTTACAGTCATAGTTTATAGTCATAGTTTACAGTCATAGTTTACAGTCATAGTTCAGTCACAGTTTACAGTCATAGTTTACAGTCATAGTTCAGTCATAGTTTACAGCCATAGTTTACAGTCATAGTTTACAGTCATAGTTCAGTCATAGTTTACAGCCATAGTTTACAGTCATAGTTTACAGTCATAGTTTACAGCCATAGTTTACAGTCATAGTTTACAGTCATAGTTTACAGTCATAGTTTACAGCCATAGTTCACAGTCATAGTTTACAGTCATAGTTCAGTCATAGTTTACAGTCATAGTTTACAGTCATAGTTCAGTCATAGTTTACAGTCATAGTTCAGTCATAGTTTACAGTCATAGTTTACAGCTAGGGCTGGGCGGTATAAACGGTATAAGTGGTAGACGGTATAAATTTGGCCCACGGTAGAGATTTTTGTTATACCGGCATATTGCGATACGTCATTATGTCATTAAATTGCGCAGGCTCTGACGCCAGCAGAGAGCACCAAAACAAACCGGCATTCAGCAGCATTAGCCTAGCACTATTAGCCTAGCACATTAGCCTAGCACTATTGGACACCACTGGAAACAACGAACAACAGCACGGCATTAACACCGTGTTTCTGTCTCTGTATTGTTGTCACAGCGGCCCCAGCAGAGGTAAATACACACACAGTAATCACAGTTTAAGAGTCTACCTTTTGGCCAATCGGTGTCAAAGGGGCGTAAGCTCGAAGCGCCAGCGTGAGCCAAAATAGATCCATGTGCCGTGTCCGCAGCAGCATCACATCAGAAGTTTGGGAAAGTTTGCGTCAGATTCGGACCTCCGCGGTCAATATCTCACGAAAGCTACTTTGTTAAACAAAATGATTTGTGCCAAAATGATCATTTACATCAATTGTTCAAATCCAATGCGCTGTTTTAATGAACATAAAATCCATTGAATCATCCAGCGCAGAGAAAAGCGCTTAGGGAGCGTCAACAAATGGCAAGACCAGCTTTGTAAACAAACAGCTTTTACTGAAGTCATGCACCTGCACAAAACTCTCAGACACTATAAATAATGACCATGTCTAACTCCTACAGACTTTGTTTTCATCATTTGTGAGTTTTTTATATTTTAAATGAATGCATATGTTTTTCTTTTTAAAAATTGCTTTTACAGTGAATGGTATTTACTGTAACATACATAAATAATGTATGTTATTTGTCTCTTTATTCGTCTCACAACTGATTTTCTAACTCAAAAAATATATATTAGATTCTAATATATAAATAATTAACAATCTTGACTATTTTATGCAAGAACCTGCTAGACCTATATTGAAATTCACACACCAAATTATACCGCGATATATACCGTCTACCGTCTATGACCCAAATTATACCGCGATATGAATTTTAGGCCATATCGCCCACCCCTATTTACAGCCATAGTTCACAGTCATAGTTTAGAGTCATAGTTCAGTCATAGTTCAGTCATAGTTTACAGTCATAGTTTACAGTCATAGTTCAGTCATAGTTTACAGTCATAGTCCAGTCATAGTTTACAGCCATAGATTACAGTCATAGTTTACAGTCATAGTTTACAGTCATAGTTTACAGTCATAGTTTACAGTCATAGTTTACAGTCATAGTTTACAGTCATAGTTCACAGTCATAGTTTAGAGTCATAGTTCAGTCATAGTTCAGTCATAGTTTACAGTCATAGTTTACAGTCATAGTTTACAGTCATAGTTTACAGTCATAGTTTACAGTCATAGTCCAGTCATAGTTTACAGCCATAGATTACAGTCATAGTTTACAGTCATAGTTTACAGTCATAGTTTACAGTCATAGTTCAGTCATAGTTTACAGTCATAGTTTACAGTCATAGTTTACAGTCATAGTTTACAGTCATAGTCCAGTCATAGTTTACAGCCATAGATTACAGTCATAGTTTACAGTCATAGTTTACAGTCATAGTTTACAGTCATAGTTTACAGTCATAGTCCAGTCATAGTTTACAGCCATAGATTACAGTCATAGTTTACAGTCATAGTTTACAGTCATAGTGCACAGTCATAGTTTACAGCCATAGTTTACAGTCATAGTTTACAGTCATAGTTCAGTCATAGTTTACAGCCATAGTTTACAGCCATAGTTTACAGCCATAGTTTACAGTCATAGTTCACAGCCATAGTTTACAGTCATAGTTCAGTCATAGTTTACAGTCATAGTTCAGTCATAGTTTACAGTCATAGTTTACAGTCATAGTTCAGTCATAGTTTACGGTCATAGTTTACAGTCATAGTTCAGTCATAGTTTACAGTCATAGTTTACAGTCATAGTTTACAGCCATAGTTCACAGTCATAGTTTACAGTCATAGTTTACAGTCATAGTTTACAGTCATAGTTTACAGTCATAGTTTACAGTCATAGTTTACAGTCATAGTTTACAGTCATAGTTTACAGTGTAGACTCCACATATTTCCTCTTGTGAGTCCAGTCTAAACCTGGAGACCTGAGAAAATGGGTGGATTCTGTGCTTCTGCTGGATTGTAATAAAAATCTGCATCACACCGACCCTTTCTGGAACCAAAATGACACCTCTGTCTAAATATATTCATATTTATGGTCCAAATGTTGTGACTTGACCCTCGTGAATCCTCTCTAAAAGTCTCCAAAGTAAGAATTATATGAAATGTATGACAATTTCACTTAAACAGATGCAGTATATTTTTGGGATCAGTTAAAGTCGGCTGGAAAATGTCCATGAAAATCGCCGTGTAGCGATAATAAGGTGTATTGTCGCGGCTTGTTGCACATTTCTTCTTCATTCCAACAATTTCCCCCAAAAACAGACGAACCGCTGTTTTCCCGATTCCTCTCCGCACGGCTCTGATCAAACCGCCACTTAGCGCTCCTCCCGCTCTGGTGTTTGAGTGCGTCTCAGTGTGATCAAACATTGGCCCTCTTCTGTTGCCGTAGATCATGAATGCCTTCAGCGGGAGAGGTTTGTCTGCTGCAGAGACACAGACAATGCCCTGATTGGTTCGCTATCTATATCTGTGTGCAGCTGCTGTAGTTTTCTGCCGTGGAGCTCATCAGTTCACATCCCGCCCCACCGCAGCGAGCAGTAAATAGAGTCTCCGCCACTCGTTGAGAAATGGCACAATTATCTCCCGCGGGTGAAATATGGGCCGCTATCCACCGGCGCTGCCTCTGTACCGGACGTATGGAGCCGTGAGTGATAGAAACGCAAACCCATCAATCTATTTGTAATCCTTTCATACAAATAATCACAGCCTTTTGAGTTAATTCGTTTTGTGCTGGTCGAACGTTTACAATCCACTCTTTTAAATAGTTATATTACCTGTTTTCTTCCCCTTAATCCATGTCTGAGTCGGGGGGTGGGGGTGGCAGTCAGAGACCACAGGAGCTGAGGTCTTTCAGTGGGGGCTTCAGGCAAAGTGGGGTAAAGTGTCTTGCTCAAGGACACAACGACAGCAGAGTCGGTGGATAAAGTCTTGTGCTGGGATTGAAACCCACAACCTTCAGGCTCAAAGGCCAATGCTCTACAACTGAGCCACTGTCGCCCCCAGCAGTTTATATAACACTTTTTTTTATATATACTTAATATTTATTGGAAATATCAAGAATGAAAGTGCATTATACAGAAACTCACCAAAAGACTTCATTTGCTCCTTCTGCTTTTACTAATAAAAGTACAAAGTTGTGGAACTCATTAACCACTGAGTTTAAAATGTTTATTTTGATTTATAGATGAATTAAAGGGACAGTGCATATGAATATACATCCATCCATCCATTTTCTTCCGCTTCATCCGTTGCCGGGTCACGGGGGCAGCAGGCATGGCGCAGCCAGGCCCCACCCTGGAGCCAGGCCTGGGGTCGATGCTCGCAAGCGAACCCCTGGTGGCCGGGTCGGACTCAGCTCGAAGGGGTGACGTGGGCAGTCCCTCCTGTGGGCCCACCACCCGCAGAGGGGTCCGTGGTGGCGAGGTGCAGAGAGGACTGGGCAGCGGTCGAAGGCGGAGACCTCGGCGACCCAGTCCACACACTCCATGAATATACATTATACATGTAAATATATCAGAATTAGCCTTGTTATTATTACGTATTTTTGTATATTGACAAATTACTGTTTTTTGAAATGAGTTTGGATTTTATTTTCTGACAGATTCAGATTCAATCACTGCTGGGTCAAATATGAAAATATATAGATTGAAGATTCATAGTTACTTATACAGTTAAACTCAAGTTACGTATTAGTTAACATTTCAGAACAGATTGAAGCGTGGTTGTTTTCCTGATGAAAGAATTACTTATTTTATTTGTGCAGCTTTTACATCATTTTCTTGCGTCTGTTTCAAACCCGTCACTGAGTTCTCTTGGCCATTATATTTGTATTTTTCGTACACACATTTTAAATTATATCTTGTCTGTTTAACTGTGAAGCGCTTTGTGGCCTTGGTCTGTGAAAGGCGCTGTATAAATAAATCTTACTCACTTACTTACCATCAATGCTGCAAAATACTATAATAACGATAAAGGAAAAGCAAATCAGGGGCCACTTTAATGGTCGCGTGGGCCGCATTTGGCCCCCGGGCCTGAGTCTGACACGGCCGCCCCAGACCTTTATCAAATGTTCCGTGAGTCGGGAAATGTCAGAGGCCACACTTTGGTTTGAAGTCAAGCGCAGACGTTATTAACCTCCAGTTCTTCTGCTTCCTACGGACTCTGACATTTGGGAACTCTGCAAATTGTTGGTTGTGACTAAGTGAAAAGAAGCGTAAAATAAAACATCTTCACCCAAAAGGACGGTCATTGTTTTAATGTTTTAAAATGGTTCTTTTGTCTCACAGGTACGGGAAAATAGTGTCGACGAAGGCCATCCTGGACAAGAACACAAACCAGTGCAAAGGTGAGTTCTGCTGCAGATGTTTTACACGACGGTGAGATACAGATGTAGAGGCGCATTTTTAGATTCTGTTTATTTACCATTTGCAGTAAAAACACAGTGGAAAACCTTTCTCTCTCTGGTCTCTCTCTGGTCTCTCTCTGGTCTCTCTTTGGTCTCTCTCTCTGCTCTCTCTGGTCTCTCTCTGGTCTCTCTCTCTCTGCTCTCTCTGGTCTCTCTCTGGTCTCTCTCTGGTCTCTCTCTCTGCTCTCTTTGGTCTCTCTCTGGTCTCTCTCTGGTCTCTCTCTGGTCTCTCTTTGGTCTCTCTCTGGTCTCTCTTTGGTCTCTCTCTGGTCTCTCTTTGGTCTCTCTCTGGTCTCTCTCTGGTCTCTCTCTCTGCTCTCTTTGGTCTCTCTCTGGTCTCTCTCTGGTCTCTCTCTGGTCTCTCTCTGGTCTCTCTCTGGTCTCTCTTTGGTCTCTCTTTGGTCTCTCTCTGGTCTCTCTTTGGTCTCTCTCTGGTCTCTCTTTGGTCTCTCTCTGGTCTCTCTCTGGTCTCTCTCTCTGGTCTCTCTCTCTGGTCTCTCTCTGGTCTCTCTCTGGTCTCTCTCTGGTCTCTCTCTGGTCTCTCTCTGGTCTCTCTTTGGTCTCTCTCTGGTCTCTCTCTGGCCTCTCTCTCTGGTCTCTCTCTCTGGTCTCTCTCTCTGGTCTCACTCTGGTCTCTCTTTGGTCTCTCTCTGGTCTCTCTCTCTGGTCTCTCTCTGGTCTCTCTCTGGTCTCTCTCTGGTCTCTCTCTGGTCTCTCTCTGGTCTCTCTTTGGTCTCTCTTTGGTCTCTCTCTGGTCTCTCTCTGGTCTCTCTCTGGTCTCTCTCTGGTCTCACTCTGGTCTCTCTTTGGTCTCTCTCTGGTCTCTCTCTCTGCTCTCTTTGGTCTCTCTCTCTGGTCTCTCTCTGGTCTCTCTCTGGTCTCACTCTGGTCTCTCTTTGGTCTATCTCTGGTCTCTCTTTGGTCTCTCTCTGGTCTCTCTTTGGTCTCTCTCTGGTCTCTTGTGTCCCTCTGGTCTCTCTCAGCTTTTGGTGAATGTCCATAGTAAGTAAAAGAGTAAGTAACAGAGTAAGTAATAGAGTAATTTGCAGATTGTCTAAAAACACTGTTGTTTTGCCAATATTACTGTACTTATAGTTTTGTGTCCTCAAGAAGCCAATAGATTCATAAACATAAGTATTTCTGACAAAAACACTAAATATGCCTGTTTTTTTTCTTATTTTATATATATATATATATTCTTAGAGATATACTTTAGTACTTTAACTTACCCCAGGGCCTCCAGGTGCAGCCAGTCGTAGAGAAGCACCGTGAGTCAATCATCAGAACAATAACTGTTCAAACCTTTAGGTCAAAACCGCATTCTATTAAAAAGATAAGTTCTGTAAAAACAGCATCAGCAGCGAAACAGAGAGAACGATGAAAGATCCAGTCAGACCTCTGAAGCTAAGCAGGGTAAGGCCTGGTTAGCACTGTGATGGGAGACCTCTGGGAACAGCAGGTGCCACAGTGGGGCGGCTGTAAAGTGCCTGTGGTTGTGTCCTTGGGCAAGACACTTCCCCCACATTAGAATGAGTCTGGTGTGTGTGTGAATGGTTGGTGGTGGTGGGAGGGGCCGATGGCACAGACTGGTTGCTTTGCATCTGTCAGTGTGCCCCAGGGCAGCTGTGGCTACATTATTGTTATTAGTAGTATTATTATTATTATTATCATCAAATGCAGCACAAGTAGACGTCTGTTTGTGGGAGGAGCTTGACTCACGGTGGGTGGATCTAGCGTTTTTATCCGGTTTATAGTCGCCATCTGTGATATAAACAGGTCCAACAGGAGTCAGTGTAATGCTGTTATGTTAAGTCACTTTCTATAAGATAAAATAAACTTTATTGATCTCTGATGGACAAATGTACATGTCACATATGGTATAATTATTTTTATTTGATATCATTATCTACAATAACAAAGTGGTAATAGCAGCTCAGTCCAAGTGCAGTTCATTAGTGACTTGAAGTGACTTATTGTACAGTCTGACAGCGGTGGGTTAAAGGCCTCTGCTGTGATTCACTGGAGCATCAAGACTTCAGCGTCTCATTCATAAATTACAGCACTTGTATTCATGAGAAAGCAGTTAGCAAACCACCTTTGATTCACCTATTGACTGTTTTGCACATGTTTTGGCATCACCGTCACATTTCCAATTTAACCCTCTCTCTTCCCGCCTCCTTTCCCGGCTGCATACGCTGCTTTCCGTGGTGTAAAGTTGCTCGGATTGACAGAAATGAGGCTGTGATGTGGGAGAGAAGATTAGTGAGCTGCTTGGCCCGAGGTGTCTGGCAGTGTCTGTTTAAGAGCTATTGAAGTCCCATCAATACTTTTAATTGCCTTGTGTGGGTTCCCAGGCGCTGAGCAGTGGCCTCTCAAGGTGAAGCTGCCTTTCTAACCCTGACTTTCCCCTGCCAGGCCAGCTCTCAGCCAACCCCACTGCCTTTTAGAAAGTCCAGGAGAGGTTCTGATTATCCAGACGGCCCCTTTCTGTGTCTAGTGGCTGTTGAGACGAGATGGCCCCGTGTCCAAAGAAGGAAGGTGTCCATGGGTCAGAACGGCGGGTTAGAGAGTGTGAGAGCGAGAGGAAGAGGAAGAGGAAGTGGAAGTGGAAGTGAGGATTCCAAAGAGATAGCCCTCAGAAAGTCTGTCAAAGATTTAGGAAACAAGTGGTGTTAAAATGTGGAAGACACGATAATAAATGTTAGTGATAATCAGTGTTAGTGATAATCAGTGTTAGTGATAATCATCCATCCGTCCCTCCATTTTCTTCCCCTTAATCCATCTCTGGGTCGGGGGTGGCAGTCAGAGCACCAGCCCCTCACTGATCCTCCTGCAGGTGCTGAGTCCACAGGAGCTGAGATCTTTCAGTGGGAGCTTCAGGTGAAGTGTGGTTAGGTGTCTTTCCCAAGGACACAACAACAGCAGACATCAGTGGGAGTCGTCTTACAGTGGGCTCGAACCCACGACCTTCAGGCCGAAATGCCAATGCCCTACCAACTGAGCCACAGTCGCCTGGTTATAGCTAGCGCTGTTCAGGGCTTGGTTTCTTCTTTGATCATGTTGTGGCTTTAGTTCCTCTTCTCTTCCTCACTGTTGTGTGGTTTGGGCTGTTTTGTTGTGTCTGCAGTTACAGCCAGAGGAGTTATAGCCACTGATGCTAACATGCTACTGTGTTTAGCAGCGCTGTAGAGGCTAGAGGACGCAGCCTCGTTCTGTGATTGGAGGAGAGCGGGCGTCACGCTAAAGTCTCTACTCAGCACTTTTTACTGAGTTCATCCACAGCTGAATCAATGAGCTCAGGTTTTACATTAAATTACAGATTATAATTCAACTTGTTCGTAGTAATACGCATTTTTATGAACTCATTACAAAATAAATCGGGTCTAGCTTCTTTAAGAGGTAGAACATGGATGGACACTTTGTTTTATTGTTATTATGTTAAAGACAGAGATTTTTTACTTGTTATTAATGCAAGAGTTAGAGATTTTGTTTTCTTTTAATTAGTATAACTATTGTTCACTCGTGCTCCTCTTTCCTACTGTTCTATAACTTGTGATGCAACACTGACATTTCCCCACTGTGGGACGAAGAAAGAATCTTAATCTTAATCTTACAACTAAAACTACAGTTAGCACCGTGCTTCACTTGCCCTCTGTGTATTTGAAACTTGAAAAGTATGTGATAAAGGTTCAGACTGTTTTCAGGATGGAGTAATAACACTTTTACACTTATCCACAACATTCAGTTCTTTCTCACAGCGTCTGTAAACGTAAACACCATCATATGTTTCTGTAACTTATTCAACTCTAGGGTTTAAAGTGACTCATGTTCTTTCAGTCAAATAGTGGATTCATAAAATAGTGTGAGATTCCTTGGCTGTGGCTCCGGCGCTCGGATCCAGCTGACCTGCGTCATGCTCAGCACAGGCTTAGCGCTTTGTTGTTTGGGAGCCCATATTTCCCATAAGTCATTGTGCTGGAATGCTGCACTGAGTGGAGCCAAAAAGCAAATATAAGCAGAAGTATTTTACGAGTGGAAAGGATGGGCCTGGTCCGCACCCAGAAGAAGTGTGAGATAGATGGACAGCAGAGAGGCAGGAGGACACGGGAAACTGCACATGAATCATTCTGCACGGCGGCCATTTTGGCTCCGGATGCAGAGAGAGAGCGGTTAGAAAAATGTAAGACATGGACTTGGAGATAATCAGGCTGTGGTCCAAGTACACGCTGTTGCACTGGGTAATCATAGATAGATAATGATAGATAGATAATGATAGATAGATAGATAATGATAGATAGATAATGATATATAGATAATGATAGATACAGTAGACAGATATAGAGAGAGATAGATACTTTGTTGATTCCTGTTGGAGAAATGCAGGTGTCCAGCAGCAGCAGAAACACATCCATCCAAACAAAACAAATAAATAGATCATTCTAAAAAATGCTAGCATTTGTCATAAAGTTAGCATTCCTCCAGTGGATTTTCTCCACTTGGTTTGGACCATGAAACCTCTCTGCTCTGGTCTGGACCAGTGTAAAACCATGAATCCTCTCTGCTCTGGTCTGGACCAGTGTAAAACCATGAATCCTCTCTGCTCTGGTCTGGACCAGTGTAAAACCATGAATCCTCTCTGCTCTGGTCTGGACCAGTGTAAAACCATGAATCCTCTCTGCTCTGGTCTGGACCAGTGTAAAACCATGAATCCTCTCTGCTCTGGTCTGGACCAGTGTAAAACCATGAATCCTCTCTGCTCTGGTCTGGACCAGTGTAAAACCATGAATCCTCTCTGCTCTGGTCTGGACCAGTGTAAAACCATGAATCCTCTCTGCTCTGGTCAGACCGACAGCGATAACCATCGTGTGTTTCCTCTGACCACATTTTAAGTAAGTAAGTAAGTAATCTTTATTTATATACCGCCTTTCACAGACCAGAGT